GGATTTTTTTTGGAGAAAATTTTGTTAATGAGTGCATGTGCTTGCTGGAAAGACACAGAGACAGACGGTGAGAACTCACCCTGCAGGGGATGGTCACACACAGTCCCTTCTCCTCTATTCTCCTCTCAGGATTTTGGGCACGCAGGCATATGTACCCGGCGTGAGTTTCAAGGTGCCGTAAATGGGACTCAAACCACAGTCAGCCATGTGGGAGTCCAGTGCCTTAACCACTATGCCACCTGCTGAGCCCTAAACTGGATATTTAACATGGATGATTTTCAATAAGAAGTTACCAGATGTTATCTATCATTCCCCATGGGATTAACAAGCCCTTTGGTTTTGAAGACCTGGACACTTTCTGAAAGGTAATTAAGCTTTATTAAGAGGAAAAGACTTTAAAAGTCATCTTACTGGATGTGAAGTCAGGAGACTGGGGTTAGGAGTAATGCGAGGGACACGGTCGCAGTTACCAGACAAGAAGAAACACCCCAGGGGTCTGAGGATGGGCTAGCAGGACTCCTCATGGCATATTCTGAAAGGACATCACCAGCAGTCCCCTCTTTAGGTTGAAATCTAAAATTTCTTTATGTAACAACAAGGTGAAGGCCAGAAACAAATGGATGAACAAATCGATGAATACTTCGGAGCAGTCCTTTCACAATTCCCGCTACAAGCTTGGTTGAATGTAAATTTTGAAAACAATAATGGTGAGCTTTTAAGGAAGGAGAGAGGCAGGAGCGGTGCAGGCACCGGTCCAGACTGGCCGGCAGATCGCTGAGGTTGTTAGCTCTCTCCAGCTGTGACAGGAGGTTCAAAAGGCGCAGTCATACTAGCGTGCAGCCCTTATCCTCTCTCTCAGTGGCCACCTGACAACTTCTGATAATTTGCAAGCTGAATGCAATTCACAGCATGTCAGGAAAATAGCTCCCTGACCAACGAGGAAGCATACTTTCCTGTCATCATTTTAAAGACCCAGTGTATTTTTCAGAAGCAGAAATACACATCAAGACAAAAATGGTAAAAATCATCCTGGCCCCAATTTTGCCAAACACACTTTACTCACTCTATTTACATGTAAATCGCATAACCACCATGACACGCAACATGGATGCAGTGCTCAGTGCACCACACTGCTGCTGTAACTATCCACGCCGCAGCGGCGTGCCCTGCTGAGTTCTGGGACCCACTGCGAATGGGAACGAGCCCGAAATCGCGCTCTCTCCTGCGACAGAGTCAGCGTTTCAGGCATGGAAGCTTAGGGAGGCTTACTGGGGTCGGGCTAGCTCTTCCACGGGAAACCCGTCAGGATCTCACCAGCAGATAGCGCACCTTAGATGGATCCTGGCACGTTGTTCTCAGAGGAGCAGCAGTTACCTCTAAAACTATTTTAAAGGCAGAGCAGTAAAGACATAAATCGGGCAGGGGGACGAATGTTGCAAACACAAACTAGTAAAATGCAGCTCAAAACGTGATTATTACTAGTTAGAAAAATGTAGGAACAATGATCTATTTTATCTGCCCTTCCCACCACTCCTTTTCGTCAACAATGTCTACATTAAAATCAAGTTTGTTTATAAATGTAAAAATGGCCTTTTACTATTTTAATATTATCCACAGACTTGAGAAACAGCTCAATAAAATAAACAAACTAAAAGAAACAAGTTAAAAGATTTCACGATACAATCTTCCTATTAACTAAAATTTTAACTTCTTTTGTTGACTGACTTTCATTTGCTCACTCTGTGCAAGAAAATAGTGTTGCTCATATCCACGGAGTACCTGTCCTGAGACCCGTCACAGAGAGCAAGATGCTCAGGATTTTTAACTGGTACTGACATTTCCCTAGAGGGAGCAATATCTTTAGAAATACATGTAATTTTTTGGAAATGCATGTAGAGACATTTTATTGTTGCAATGATTCGAGAATTAATACTGGGGATTAGGGATCCCGAGCATTCGTAATTAGCTGGATTCTCCCATTCCACAAGGAACTATCTTTCACCACACATGACTTAGGCTAGCTTGCAAGACTAATTGCCTACTTATAACAACTCACAGTACTTTGATAATACTGCTACTATTGCAAACTTTTACAAGAACTCACACAAAAACTCCCCAGTCATTTTAGGAGAAAGCATACTGAAATAAATGCTATGTTAAAGTCATCGAATTATTGAATACTTCATTCACCCTGCATAACTGCATATTTAAAGAACACCAGGGTACCCTCCACTCAGATTTAATATTTTGCCACATTTGCTGCAAAAAAATCTTTTTTTAAATTTAAATGTATTTATTTACATTCACTGTACATCATTACAGCATACAAAATGAGATTTTCCATCCAGAATACATTGTATATTGGCTCAATCAAGAACATCAACATACGTGTTATCGACAACAAATTTTCCATTTCTCGTTTCCTGCATATTTTGTCTTTTTTCCCATTCTTGATTTCCTGTCTCTCACCTTCTGCCATCTCCTACCCTCGCCCCACGCTGTCTCTGGTGTCCCATGGTTGCTTTCTATGCCTCCCCCCACATTTTATTGGTTCACTAAAGATCTTAGTTAATCTACTTTCAGTAGCAAGCACAGCTGACATATACATATCCATGAACACAAGTCTGACTTTAGGCATAAACCTCAGTGAGTAGAATGAACAGACTAAATAAAAAAATCTTTTAAATCAAAATATATGAGACTTCAAAAAGTTTGTGAGAAAAAATGACATGAAACTAAGACCTTATTTTGGTGCAAAAATGTAAAATCCATGCAGTTTTTCACAGCACATGTTTTCCACGAACTTTTTGAAGCCCCTGCATATTACCAATGCAATGGAAGCCCCTTTGTAGAACTCAATTTAATTCTTTCTCTTTAAATTTATATTTTGTACCTTCTATAACCTTAATAAGAATTTACCCCTAGACAGAAATGATAACTTTGTGCAATTCCATATTTAGATCATTGAAGTCATATTCTAGAGTACAGAGCCTTTCAACTTTTTGTATGTATCGTACATATACACCACATTTAATTGTATGAAAATGAAGCGATGCCAAAACACTGTTTTATTTTTTTAAAAGAAATTTTTGCTTCTGGGTATGTGCACTTGCTGGATAGGCAAAGAGAGACAAAGAGACAGAAAGTGAGAAATTGCCCCTGGGGGATGGCCACAGTGCAATCACTTCTCCATTCTCTCTCGGGATCTTGGGCATACACACACACACACACACACACACACACAGGCCTGGTGTGAGCTTATGCCGCGGGATCCAGGACTCAAACCACGACTGACTATGTGGGAGTCCAGCAACATAACCATTACGCACTTGCTGGTCCCCAAATACTGTTTTATAAATTGCTTTTCCTGTGTTAATAATACACAGCATAAACATTTTGTCCCCTTGTCAATGATCTTTGGTAGGGACTCCGTGGTGCAGTGCTGAGATGCAGTGAACCACAGCCGAGGCGCACAGAGGAAGTGCTGGTTTACATCCAGAGACCTCTCTGAGCATGACGCCACTGATCTAGGCTAGGGGAGGCTGGAGCTGGATCAGGGTGTCCAGGCCTGTCTCTCTCTCTCTGTTTCTCTTGGAATAAACAAACGTTTTTTCAATAAAGCATCCCTCTGAAAAATTACAATTGCTTGAGGGTAGGTACGATGGTTTCAATTAAACTTCTGAATTAGTAATGCATTTTTGGTGTTAAAAACATGTAAAATATAACAAGAAAGTATTCCCTCCACCTTTGCTACCAATTTGAACCCCCTCCCCAGTTATATAACCTCTGTTACTAGTTTCTCCTTTTTTCTCCTTTTATTTTACTTTCAATTGAGAAACAGTACTTGCATACATTTATGGGGTACAATGTGATATTTTTCTATAAAGTAGTCCTCTTTATCTATGCGGGGTATGTCCTAGGACTCTCAGTGGGCCCTGAAACCAGACATACCAAACCCTATATACACTGTACTATGCTTTTCCTGTATGTATATACCTATAAAAAAGTAATTTATAAATCAGGGACAACAAGAGATTAGTAAAAATAATGAACGGTACAATAGAGCAGTTATAAAATATAGTATAATAAAACGGCATGGATGAGGTCTCCTCCTCTCAGAATACCTTAGTGCACTGTACCACATTCCCCTATGTTCAGACCACAGCTGACCTCGAGTAACAGAAACCTCGGATAAGGGAACGCTAGTTAGATTTACCCAGAAACCTTTTCAAAGGGGCTTGACTCTGTGTCATGAGCCCCCAGTGAGTAACAGAGTAAGCCATGCTCTGGCTAGCCTGACTGTCAGCTCTGGCTTCTAGCTGATAGGGACTTCAGAGAAGTTAAGGAAGGAAGCCAAACTCGGGTCGCATTTCCTGTTTATCAAGCAAAACACGGAAGCAGCTACTTGAGATTTCGCTTAAGTATACATTTCTTATTTCTTCAGAATTAGGCCTGACTATCATAAAATTCAAGTGAAAACCCTTCAGAGCACAACTTCATAAACACGCTCACTAATGAGTTTTTCAAAACAGTAGGAGAGTATTAAGTATGTTAGGAAAAATAAGACACCTTCTCTTTTCTCGCAAATAAGAACATGGGAGGTAAACACACAAACTTTACAACAGGAGGCTATAACTAGGAGCCAGCGGGGGCAGTGGTCAGAGCGGCTGGATACCACGTGGTGACTACACGGTTGGAATCCCAGCCCACCATGTTCTCACGCTGGATGTGCGTGTGCACATCTAGAAATCTTGAGAATGAGGAAGAGGAACTGTGGCATGGCCGCCCCTCTGGGGTGTTTTCTCATTGCCCCCCATCTCCCTCCAGTGAGTGCATGCACCCTATGCGAAAATAAAAAATTGATATAAAAAAGGAGGCTACAATTAGTAGCAGTAACTTGTTCAGGTGTGGATTTCTTATAACAAAATTGAAAGAAATACGCCTTGGCCTCCTTCCACTTTATTTTTACCTCATGTCCCATGAGTGTACCCAGTACTCACATCTGGAATGAAGCCGATTTCATTGAGGTGATTACTCAGCTCGGGGTCGTGGAAGGCGATCATCTGAGAGAACACAGTCAGATACTCTGAAAGGACACAAAGGTGAAGACGGTCATCCTTTCAACAAAGTGCCTCGAAGACAGCAAATTCAAATAAATGACATCGTACTGACGTTCTGGATGAGATTCGACTCCACCACGGATATCTAAGTTTCCATTTTGTTACTACTTTAATCCCTTACTGCTCATTATCAAACAAATACACTCAAAATTTATACCACAATTTATTTTCTGCCTTCAGAGCTATTAGTTCATTTCCTAAATCACAAATTAGACACACGATGAATAATTCTTTCCTATTATACTCTGCAAATACCTTTTCTTTAGTAATATTTTTCAAAGAATTTTTAATTCAACTTTATTTATTTATTCAAATTTGACCAGAGAGGAACAGAGCAAGAAAAAGAGAGGGAAAGTGAGAAAGGAAGCCACCAGGTCTGGGACTTGAACCACAGTCACCCGTGTGGGAGTCTAATGCCCTTCACCACCATGCCACCTGCTGGTCTCCTTTTCTCTAGTAATATTAAATCTATTTTACAATTATTGAATGTTCAGAAGGAATCACCAACCCTTGACATAGACAGGGGTCAACTCCAGTTCTAACTCATTTCCACTCAAGACCCTGCACTGCGCACATTTAGGCATAAGAATGAACACATTCAGAAGCAAGGAGGGACACATTTGAAACGCTCTTCTGTGGGCCCCACTGCAGAGGAGAGGCTGTGAGAGGTGGGGCTGTGTGGGAGGCCCAGTTTCAGTTCCTGTCCAAACTAAATAGGCTCGCCTCCTGAAACCCTGGCTCACTGGGAGCTGGGGCGGGAGGGCTGTGACACTGTCAAAAAAATACCTCTCTCCTCCCTCTCCCCCACCTCTCATTCTAAGCACAGAGTTCAGCTGGTCTATGAGAAATACAGGTCCATTTGTTCCCACTCTCCCAAGTTACTATTCTTCCCAACATATTCCCTATTTACTAATCCAGACAAGATAGTGGGAAGAGTCTACTCAAGGGCAAGGAACCAACGGATTAAACACAATTAGTACATTTTTCAATGAGTTCAACATTTTTCTCCTTCTGTAAAGTGAAATGACAACACCTCAGTACAAGTTTTACCTTAATCATCTCAGCTCTGTTCTCCAATAAAGTAGCGTCTATTTTCAAATCAATTATTTGGTGAATATAAGCTCTAAAAAGAGCGTCTACCTTGCTTTTTTTAGTTTTTAAAGTTTCTTGTTTTTGATATTTTAAGAACCAGTACTAAATCCTTGAAAATCCATCAGTGCAAGCAGACTTCTGCTATGACGTGTACTTTGCAGTGCTGTGATTCTCAGTAAATCTGAAAAAGCTTATATTGTATTCATGATTATGCTCCGGTAAGGCTAATTCCCATTCGAACGCTGATACGACTGCGTTCTGAGTTTATGAATGTTGGCCTCATAGTACTTGCCGTAACCACACAAGGAGGTGACAGCCACTAGCCGGAGCCAATAAACAAGTGAGCTAAGGCACCAGGACCCTGGCCTCTAAAACCGAAGTCTGGACTCTGAGACAGCATGTCTTTTGGGACAGTACGCATCAGGGCTTCTGAGCTGTGTGAGAGTGTGTGTGTGTGTGTGTGTGTGTGAGAGAGAGATAATACAGTGGATTTGCTACATTTAGCTCGTCACTTAATTTAGGAATGAAGAACCTGCCCCCTCACAGAGAAGGTTAAATTGCCACCAGGGACCAGGGAATTGGGTCACCTTTCCGTTGTTTTCTCAAGTAAGATTTTGCTTGTAATGATTGCATTTTACAGTTATTTGCATATAAATAATGTCGCCTATTGCACAAAGTCAGAAAGAAAAGAAAAGGAGCAGCTACGTACAATACTATGATCAAGCTAAATTCCTGATCGAACAATTGTACCTACTGGATAAAGAACAGGCACTCGAGAGACCAGCAGGTGGCGCAGTGGGTGTGGCACTGGACTCCCAATATGGCTGACCGCAATCTGAGTCCTGGACCTGGGGACTTGAAACTCAAGCTGGGTGCAAGTGCGTGTGTGCTCAAAATCCCGAGAGGAGAATGGAAGAGAAGGGATTGTGGCATGGCCATCCCCCCGGTGGGTGATTTCTCACTTTCTCTGTCTCTTTCTGTCTCAGGCAAGTGCATGCGCCCTATAGCAAAAATTTCCCTAAAAACAACAAAAACAAGCACTTGGCTAAAAAATTGTTCTTGCTTTGGTGTTTATCCTACTGCAACAGAATTCGTTCTATCTATCCACTGTCTCACCTTTGCCTCTCAGAACAAAGAAGGTACAATTCACATCAGCTTCAAGAGTCACAGATCACAGTGAGGACTGAGGACACATTCAAAGGCTCCAGGGAACTTCCGGGTTTAATTTTTCTTTAACTTTTTTTTCCTCCTTCCAATTAGTGATGGTAAGTTTGCAGTCCCGATTTACCCAGAAGCCAAAGCTATATAACATCAGCAGTCATAAGCATTCAACTCCATATTGATGAAAGCACATAGTTATTAAGTTCTAAACAGCAGCTTACTTTAAACCAGAAATTTATGCCTTAGGCAATTCTCCGCAGCTATGGTCCAGCTTATTAAACGTCATTTGTCTTTGAGCTTCATAAACATAATTACTATGTGGAATTATGCAGCTAACAGGATCTACTGAAGAAACCTAATCCGTCTTGAAAACATGTTTCATGTGTTCTGTCAAACACAGATGGCTGCATTTATATGATGCATGTTATAACATGTATATCCACAAATATTTATTTTCATATTAGTATAGACTATGTCTAGTTCATAAAGACAAACGTAACTGTTAATGTAATCTATGCGTTTTGATGGCTCAGGACTGGCTTCTGAATGAGATATAGCATGCCCTATGATGTATGTTATATCAGTCATCAAGAAAGCCATTTGCAGTTTTCTGTTTTTCTATGCAAAAATGCGTCATGACTTTCCTGATAGCCTGATAGAAAGACTTTCCTCATTTAATATAGAACCGATAATATCACCACCTTGTTATATTCTGTTATTTCAAAAAGGCATGTAAAAAATTCCCTAGATTAACTTAAAAATATCAAAATGCGTATGTCCTTTGGTTTCTAAATCAAACTGGGAGAATTTAAGTGCAGCTACAGAAAACAGCCAGTGGTCAGATTCAAGCAGAGGATTCCAGGGATGTTCCTGTGGACTCTTTTCAGGAGACATTACAATGCTGTTAAAACCCTGTAATTGTGATCGATGAGAACACAAATCTAGTCTTGGAATAACCTCAGAAACAGCATTCCCTAACCTGTATGTGACTGGGGAAAATGTAAGTACTGTTCATTCTTTTTTTATTTTCTAAAGTTTTTATTTAGTTTTTCTGTGAGGAAGCACCCCAAGTGTCCTCCCACTGTCATCATGTCCCCAGCTGTGGCTGGCCTTGGCTCAGGGCACACACACAGTGTGCATAGACCAGCCTTGGGAAGTGAACCTGGGACCTTCCCACATCGAACCCCAGGTCTCCTATGTGCCTTGGCATCGTAAGTGCTGTGCTGCTGTGCCACGCTGCATGCCTGGAAGACGCTATTTACTAATTTCTGAGAGATCTTTGATAGGGTGCGTGCGCTCGCCAGAGAGACAGAAAGTGAGAAATCACCCCTGTGGGGATGACCACGCTGCAATCCCTTCTCTTCGATTCTCCTCTCAAGATTCTGGGCATGCATGCACATGTGCCCAGCTTGAGTTTTAAGCCACTGAGTCCAGGACTCAAATCATGGTCGACTACATGGGAGTCCAGCAATGTAACCATTATGTCATCTGCTGGTCCCAATTAATGCTATTCTAGAAAAAAACATCAAAGTATTTATAATATTTTCTGCTAAACTTACTTCAAGTGAAGTTTATTACATTATTGTACAAAATCACATCTAAAATAAATTTTCTTCATTTTAGTGAAATCATTCACCTTTTAATTTTTGCAAAGAGACATAAAACAGAAATAAACTGGCTTTTACCAATCTAATCTCAGAGCATTAAAAATTCTTGTTAATGTCCTTTAAAACAGCTTCCTTGTTTGTTACATACTTTAAAATGACAATTTCCAATGAATTCAGTGTAAGAATTTCATCTAACACTATCATACTTTAGTGCAGCTGTTTATAAATAAGCCATCTGTTTGTTTTCCAAAAAAAATTTCATAAAATATATGCAGAGATAAAATTTCAAAAACCCTACATATGGGCATCCCTATTTTTCCCTTTCTGCCCAGTTTTTCAGCTTTCACTCTGAGCTGGGCACAGAGATGAAGGGTGCTGACTGACGGATTTAAAGCAAATGGTTTTCTTTGCTCACAAATCGGAAGTGCACTCTCAGTTCTGGAACTCTTTGTTATTTTCCATCAGACTGCTGGTTTATCCTGAAGATAGAAAGGACAGATAAGCAAGCAGAGTCCCAGATCTCCTGTCAACTAAGAATGTGCCCAAACTGAACCATCTGGTGACATGTTGACTCCTGGCCCTCAAAAGAAACCGGTTATTTTAATGCAAATGTACCCAAATTATTTCCCATTACAAAGTCTCCCAGCTGTAAAATCTGGCCTACTTAGGAAAGGCACAGAACAAGCACCGATCTTTCTAAGTGAATGAGAAGAGGCAGTTCCAAAGAAGAGAAAGGAAAGAGCAAAGTAATTTTGAGGGCTGCCATTTGTGAGTCATTTTCATTTTTGCTCACATATCCGGCTCTGGTTTAAAAAAAAACCTGCAAGGAAACTCATTTAATAGTTCAAATAAGATTTCCAGTAAAGGCAGGACATGTTCTGTTTCAGGAAAACTCTCCTCAGTCACAAGACACTCTTGAAACTGGCAAGGCTGGGAGCTCAGTGTGCTTCCTCCTGTGTCCACACACATCGCTAAAGCCATGCAGGAAAGACGTGCTGCTGCTCACTTGCTCACCCAGGGAGGTACAGCTCCTGGGAGCAGGGCTCTTGGCTAGCAGCAGAGCCTACCTTTGGGACACACCGCAGGACCTCCCTCTCCATGGGGCCCGCCAGCCTCTGCTTCCACCAGCCCTTCGCAGTCACCAGAACCATGAGTTTATAAAGAAACTTCCATCTCCTTCATAAAATCAGTCAGGCTCAGATATTTCTGTTAGCAATGCAGTTAACGGACTAAGACAAAAATATTGTATTGCGGACATCTTTAATGAAGGATTAAGAAGTTGCCCTTCACATCACATAAATATGCCTGATTGTTCTGTACCTTTAATCTTTTTGGTGTGGTGTTGGTCACTATTTAACAGGCTATCATCTACTTTGCAAAATCTGAGAAATTTACTGGTAAAATGTAAAGTATTTATTAAAGCCATTCGTTTTGGTATTGCTGGGATCTTAGAGAGTATACCGAATTTTTTTTTTCTTTGAGAGGCTTTTGCTATAGGGCGCGTGCGCTCGCCAGAAAGACAGAGAGAGACAGAGAGACAGAAAGCGAGAAATCACCCCCCAGGGGGGATGACCATGCCACAATCCCTTCTCCTCCATTTTCCTCTCAGGATCTTGAGCACACATGCACACACGCCTGGCGTGAGTTTAAGCCACCAGGTCCGGGACTCGAACTATGGACTCCCACTACATGAGAGTCCAGTGACATAGCCATTATGCCAACTACTTGTCCCTCCATTAGTTTGAATGTGATTCAAGTCATCCTGAATGAATTCATGGGTTATGACTTGGGCTCTGAACAGGGGGAATCTTTCAGGGAAGTAGAAGAAAGAAGTACATGTGAATGTTCAGCATGAGAGATGAGCTGAAGGAAACATGTTTCTCATGCTCTTCTCATATGACTGTGCAGTGTTTAAGCTTTTTACTAATTCACAGTAGGCCTGCCCCATGGCAAAGCCTTTATGGACAAGTTTAGTTGCCGGAGGGCATGCACTAACTGGAGAGTGAGACAGAGAAGGCAAAGAGGGAGAAAGCAGCCTCGGGGAGGCGCGTTCACGCAGCAGTCCCTTCTCCCCCATTCTGCTGTGACTCTGAGCACACGTACACATGCATCTGCCATGGTTTACAGGCCAGTAAGGCTGGGATCCAAACTGCAGTTGGCCATATAGGAACCAGCTCCCTTAACCAGTAGCCACGAGACTGGCCCAAGCCTCTTATTTTCTTAAACCACCATGCCTATATTTAAGTTGAATTGAGATGAAATATTAAATTGTAATTAGAAAATAATACCATAATTCTTTGGGTACTTAGAGAAAGACTAGTTTCTGATCTCTCTTTATGGGTTTTAGTGGTGGACCATCGCCATATTATAATTGGGCCAAAATGATAAATTTATCAAGTATTGGCTCCTTTTGATTTAAGTACTTTCCCTGTGAAGAGACAGACAGACGTTTACTTACCTTGTATTACATGTGAGTTGTCTTTCAGGAAGAAGTTATACAGGTACTTGGGGATAAACGCAGACATGCACGCATAAGCCAAGGCTAAAAAGGAATACAGCAAGGGCATATCAAAAATGAGTGAGCAGGTAAATGCCCACGCCCACACTCATTCTGCACATATTCCTAGAGTCTGCTTTGAAACAACGGTTATGTACAAGGACTGGAAATGAGATCACGGGGAGGAAAGCCTCTGTGCTTTGAAACAGAAGATATTTCGGGCGACAAAAAATAGCCATCCTAGTAACTTGATTGTGAGTGAGTGTGTAGCTTTTATCCCACAATAATAAAACCTTTATGCTTGAACTTTTAAATTTCTGAGTAGGATCACGTGATCATTCTGAATGAGCTATCCAAAGCCCACATCCTTAATCCCTGCAGATGCAGACGAGAGTCTGAGATTCCGGATTTGGACAACAGTTACAACCTGCACTTCCAAACACAGATGCTTTACTGCTCTTGGATGGATGTGTGATGACTGGTTAGGCCTCGCCAAACTCAGCAAAAACTCTAGTCCAGATTAGTAAACGATATCAGAGAATGGCACTTTTTAAAATTTTGTTGCAACGTTAGTTAAAGGGCATGTGCATTTGCTGGAGAGAGACAAAGAGAGGCAAAGTGAGAAACCCCACTGGGGTGTCACCATGCCACAATCCTTTCTTTTCCATTCTCCTCTATGGGCTTTATGCACACATGTGCCTGGCATGTTTTTCAAGTCACTGTTCCAGGACCCGAACTACACAGTTGGCCTTGTGGGATCCAGCTGCCTTAGCCACCATGCCACCAGCTGCCTGAGAATGCTATGTTTTTAAAACCATTCAAAATAGTGAAATTTCAGTTCTCTGGGATTATGCTATTTCTACTCAATTTCCCAAATCAATACACATTCTGACATGAAATGGACAGAATCTGAAAAGGCAGAGATTCTGAGATTAGGCAGCTAGACATTCATGCCATATAAGTACACTGCTGGGGTATCAGTAGGACTTTAAGTCGGTTGAATTTAATATACTGGAAAACCTACTCTAACAACCGTAGAGCAGAGGGGCAGAAAACAGAAAAAGGTCATGGAAGAGAAAGGCTGCAACATTAGTATAGAACTAATTAGAACATAAGGTAGGCACAGATTAATCTCCTAAAATATAAAGTATCGGATGGGTTCGGGAAGGAGAATGGGAAGTAACTCATTAAGAACGTGGTATTTGAAATGGCAGGTGTTGGAGACGTAAGACCAGGGAAATGCAGCCAATATTGATTTATTTGTTAATTCTTTATGAGTTTTGCTTAGATTATGACTAATTTTTTAAAGATGTCAGAATTTTTTTCTGACATTTCATAAAAATAGTCACCAAAGCAGGTCAATGAATTTGGAACAGTCAAATTCTTGTCAAATCTCTGGTCACAGCCTGGTTAGAACTGAAACGTTCCAATAATAAATTCATCCTTCACATCCTCTAAAATGAACTGGATGGCTTATTTCACAGACATTTACAGTATCTGTCAAGGAGAGAGCAAGAACTGAAAACAGGAACAAAGCTGGGCCGGCTCCATGGTGCAGCGGTAAAGGCTTCTCAAGACAAGCCGGATCCCACACGCCAGCCGCAGCCTGAATCCCCAGGTACCGGCCGGAGGCACACAGCACATGGGCCAGTGCCCAGGATCCTTGGGCTGGAGGGCTGGAGGGCTGGAGGAAGAGGGTCGCGGCACGACCAGGCCCTGGGGCGGGCGCTCATCTCGCTCCTGCTCTCACTCTCATTCTCAACACGCACGCACATGCTCTATGAGAGATGAAGGAAAAATTATTTCTTTTTTTTTTTTTTGGAGAGGTTTTTGCTATAGGGTGCATGCGCTTGCCAGACAGACAGAGAGAGACAGAGAAACATAGAGACAGAAAGCGAGAAATCTCCCCCCAGGGGGGATGGCCACGCCGCAATCCCTTCTCCATTCTCCTCTCGGGATCTTGGGCAAGCACGCACACGCGCCCGGCGTGAGTTTAAGCCACCGGGTCTGGGACTCAAACTGCAGTTGACTACATGGGAGTTCAGTGACATAGCCATTACGCCAACTGCTGGTCCCGAAGAAAAAATTATTTCAAAAACAAAAACAAAAAACTTTCATGTTCGAATCAAATCCTTAGAATAATATGCACAATGGCTATCTCAATGGTGAGAGACTTACCTTCATTATTGAAATTTAGATACAGGAATGGAGCACAGAGGGAGTCGAGACCTGATGTAGGTGGGAAACAGGAGTCAGTTTCCTGCAGTCCAGCGGAGCTGCAGACACACACTGCTCGGTTCTCGGCAGACCTCCACCGAGCCCTGGGAGCATTGCCCGCCCAGAGTTACTGCGAGCGGTAAGCGACAGGTCTGCATATTCTATGTATCCAAAACAAGCCAGTTATTAATACCATCAATATTATTAGGAACTGAAGAAACAAAGTAATAGAAACATGTAAGAATGGTAGGAGGTTGGGGTATGTTCCCGTCTTTGAACAAAACTGCCTGGTCTGGACAATTGCTTCACATATTCGGGCAGGTTTTCTCATCTAGGGGATGGTAATTTGTCTTACAGGTTCTTTTTCTTTGAGATTATAAAAGAGAACCCTTCAAAAATTGTGAAGTGAACTACAAATACATGACATATTTCTTTTATACATAATACTCTTAATTCTGTTCATATGCCATCATTCTGAAAGAATGCACATAAATATACCTGTAATTGTATACCTGGGGTACCTCTAAAATGGACAGAGCTGGGGAAAATGATAGCTTTATGTTAGCTGTGGCCAGGAAGAAACAGATAAGAAAACTGAAATACACAAACAACTGCTGATCGCGACACATTGGAAAGTAGGGCATTTCAAAAGTTCTGAAAGAGGTTCTCATAGAAACCGCTCAAGTGAGCCAGGGCCAGTATGGGGGTGAGGACAGCACAGAGCTGGGCCATATGGTGTGGAGGGTGCTGCATTAAGTGAGCGACAGGGGAGCCATCTTAAGAAACCTTTGGGTTTCACTTCCCCGTTGAGCAAACAATAACAGTGACAGTTCTAACGGTCCCGGAAAGCCATATCAGACCCCTGATTGGCTCCCTCTGAATCCTCATGCTGATTGGTCGCCATGTAGTAATTGGTTGAGCCAGAATCCCTCATTTGCATTTTGGGCAATTTCCAGGACACCAATGATTGGTCCATCTGCGATACCTCATTTGCATTTTGGGCAACCAATCAATGCCCACCAGCCCGTGTATAAGCTCGCCATTCTTCCTCAGTAAACGAGACTTAATCGGCGCCTCATCTTGTCTCCACTCTGGGTATGTGTGTTTGTCCCTTCTCTCACTCCCTCCCTCAGGTGACTATTTGACTGTCTTGTGGGTTGGGACAATATGGGAAAGCTTCCTGTGTGTGCTCCAGGTTGGCTGACCCCGGTGGCTGTGGTGCTGGGGAGATACTGCCGTGTGATGGCCTTGTAAAGACTCCCTTTTAAACCCCACCCTGAATGAAGGAAATACGCAAATTTTTAAAAATAATGTGCAGTTTTCATACTGACTTTTATTAAAGGCAAGGATTTCTTTTTGGTCAGTCATGCAATAAGCTTTTAATATTCCAAGAAGAGTCTTAATAACTAAAATAAAGTTGGGGCTACACACTGGCAATGCAGTAAAACGCCAGCTCCATGCAGGAGGCCCACACGAGAAGGCTGCCTTCTGTGTCTAAAGACCCCTAGTACATGGGACACGTGTGTGGCCCTGACCTAGGGCTGGCTGGAATGGGTGGATCAGGATGTTAAGGTCTTGTCGGGTACTGTATCTGTCTTTCCCATTCTGCTTCTCTCACTGATGGGATAACTAAACTTTTAGAAAAAAAAAAAAAAGTTAGGAAAAAAAAATAATTAAAAATGTTACCTTGCCAATACACAAGATCAGGATGAGATACAACCCAGGCTTTCAAGACACGCCTAAATTTTGCGTGGCCTTCTGGCGATGATAACAGTTCATCATACTGATGACAGCGAGGAATATCTACTTCAATCTGTGAAATAACGAAGCAGTAAAGTGGAACTGTAATAGCCAAAGTGAAACCCAATAAGCCCTAACCCTATTCCTGACTAAAGAAAGAAGAAGGGGCTGTAAGACTCATTTTAGAACAGACCACCTTCATAATCCTAGTGTCTAATGTTACTGCATTTTTTATTAATGTGGATATACCAAAGAAGTCATATGTATACAAGGAAAATGTACCATTTCTTTTAAAAAGACATATGTTAACATAGTTTTCAAAAAATCTTCTTTTACAACCTGGTCTAAATAAAGGGCAATTTCTTCAAAGGAAGAAGTACAATTATTAAAAAAGGATTACATGACCTAAAGTCCTCCAGGTGTTCTAACTCACTGATGGCCGAGCACAAGTCACGCTTACTATAGCACCAGGTGCATACTGCAGAGGCCGAGTATTCACAATCAAAGGAAGAAAATGCACTGTTTATTTCTAAAATGTCAAGATTTGGCAGAATTATCTTATATTACTTAAGGAAATTCAAATCATACTTGTCTGTCTGTAGGAATCGGGGTATCTTTATCAATCGCATCATACTTGGAATGAATAGCTCCCTGCAAAAAATAAGACAAGATATATTAATTCAGCATGTCTTCAATAAAATTAATAATATAGGAAAAAACGTATTTTTAAATAAATATCTACCTTTGAAAACTTATCCAACTGTAGACAGACACATTCAAAACTGAGATATACCTCCACTTATGAGAAATTCTCTGCAACTTTGACAATCCATGAGGAAGGTCTACGACAAGTGACAATCTGTCATTTGGCTGAGGCAGACCTTCGACTCACACACGACAGAGGTGAAGTGCTAGCTGAGCCCAGAGCCAGGTGCATGCGCAGTGTGCCAGCTGGCCTCCACAGCACACCACGACCCGTCCTCTACTTGCTAGACACTGCACGTAATTCAAAAATTAAACGTCGTTTTTTCCGGGAGGGAAGCTGTTCTACAAAATTTTTTTCTATTAATTTTGGTAATAAATGAAAAGTAAAACAGAACTGTTCAAAGGAGTAGGAGCTCAGCACTAGGAAAAAGAAGTGTTGGACATCAAGAGTGGACATAATGTAGTTACAGAATCATTCGGGACTTTGGCCGATTTACTGAAGGGATAATGAAATATACTACTTAAAATTTTGGCCATGTTCTACAAGATGAAGCATAAAATAATCATTATTTCGGCTTATCATTATAGTAGAGAAAGAGCTAGGAACTGGGGTTCAAATTCTGCCTTTAGATGCTGTACTAACTCCTTTGGGACATTTAATGAGAGATTTGGACATTCTGACACCATCAGTTTGCTTAGGCTTTCACAGAGTACGGTTCTATAATTCCAGTGATTAACGTGTGGTGTGGAGCAATAGGCATTCTTGTGAAGTGACCACCTGCATTCAAAAATACTTACAGTCTCTCATTAAAGGAATCAGAAATACAGAAAGAACATTTTTCCAACAGAGGGTTGAAAAGAATTAAAAGTGCTTGAGTGAATTTAAAAGGGAACAAGTATCTATCTACAAGAGATGACAAATAAATGGATAGAAAATGAAAAAAGTCTAGAGATTTGGCCCATCATCATGATGCTGTCACCGAGTGTCTGGTAGTACTGCGAGCCACCTAACCACTGCGTGACCCCTCGCCTTTCCTCCCTGTCACAGACAGAGTGTCGCAGAGGACAAAGCTGCTATTCCTCTTGGCAGCATGGTCCAGGTGGAAGAGATATGCCAAGAGCCACTAAATTATGCCAGTGATTCTGAAAAGGCACAAATTAGATCAAAAGATTTTTTCCAAACTTAGATGAAACCACTTGTAAATAAGATATCATATTCCAAAATGAGTATATTTCACAAACAGGACTATATACTTGTAGTTGATCTATATTCTTAAAATATCCTGATTTTAAAATTAATAATATATTTTCTGTGAGCTGCATTAAAAGAAATGTTAAACAGCACAACATTTTTAAAAGAATTTTAAAATTTCATTTAATTTATTGTTGTTATTGTTGTTTTTAATGTGACCACAGAGAGATAGAGAAAGACGGAGAAAGGGAAAGTGAGGAAGCGAGCCATGAGGTCTGGGACTCCGACCACGGTCAGCCATGTGGGAGTCCAGCACCTTAACCATCACACCTCCTACCAGTCCCTAAATAGCACAGATTGAAGAAACTTTAATGATATTTTTCTATTATGTTCTTTTCCTGTATTTCTTCCACTTAAAATTGCCAAATATTCTTTTTTTTTTCCAAGTCTCTGGTGCTGGGGCATGAACCATGAGGTTGACCACATGGGATCTGGCTCCCTTAATCACTAGGCTAAGGGGCCAGTCTCTACAACTGATAAACAATCTCATGCTCACATTTTAACGTATCATTTTCTAATTACTTAAAAAATAACATATTAGAAAAGTATTATCCTTCTTCATCTTTTCTTAGCATCAGTAATCAGCTTTGACCCTTTGCTTTTTTTCCTTACCTCAACTCCCAGAAGAGCAGCCCAAGTTAAACCTCTCATGAGGGGAGGGATGTCAACTCTGGCTTCTTTCCAGATCTGGTTTTTTTTATATGGATAAGCCTATGATAGGGAAAAAATGAGAACTGCCTCAAATGATCAAGTTCCATCTTTAAGTATAGAATATGCCAGTGATGAAGCTGAAGTGGCCTGCAATAAATGTCTAAGAATCTGTAACTTACTGTGTTTAGTGTTACTAATACACAAAAATAGGCAGTGGAATTGACCCTGACCCTTCGCAACTTGTACGCCATAATGAAAAAGAGGGGCAGATTATATCAGTTAATAAATGATCCCGCTCTGTATTGTACTCTGGAAGGATGTGAATGAGTTGTACGGAAGACAGTAACACCACCCTTAAATGGGTTCAGTAACAACACGTAGAGAGAGCCCTGTGTCCCAACGTGGTGATATGGAATGTGTTCCGAGACAACAAGCTATTGGTACAGCTACTTGAATATATCTTGTATACCCATTTTTATTTTTTAAATTTATGTTTTAGGAGATATTTCTGGAAGAGAATGATTAGGACAAAAGATATGCGTATTGTTTAGGTTCTTGAAATATACTTTCGAGTTACTTTACAGAATGTTTAGTTAATTCAAATTTATTCCTAAAGAATAAGAGTTCCAATCTCAGTGTACTTTAATTCACTTTGCTAATTTGATATACCAAAAAACTCTTATTTTAATTTGTATTTTTTTTCCATTCCCAGTCAGGATGAACAAGATGACTAATTTATTGACTAACTGTATTATGTTATGTACTTAGTCCACTTCTCTGTTTCAATATTGGTGCTTTTTCCTATTGATTTCCAAGCCTTCTTGCCTTCCTTCCTTCTTCCTCCCTCCCCTCCCCTCCTTCCACTGCCAGAGGGCCTACTGCTCTCCCAAAGAGACAAAGACCGAGGGGAGAGCAGCCCCCAGTGGGCACGGTCATGTTGCAACTCCTCCTCCGTTTCTCCATCCTCTCGAACTTGGGGCACACTTGCACTTGCACACACATGGCTGGTGTGTTTTGTCAAGCTGCTGAGTTCGGGAGCCAGCTCCCTTGACCACTAGGCCACAGAGCTGGCCCTAAGTCTTCCTTAAAAAGTAAGAGTAGTAATACTTAGTCTAACCAGGTTTTGCATATATTCCCACATCTTGTTTTTACTTTTTAGTTTTACTTAATACGAACACTTCTTCATTTTTATAGCGAAAGAAAGTTTATCTGAAAAGGCAGGTCATAAGAATTTGTCTTCTCCTGACATTAAGATTTCCCTGAGAGGGGCTGGCTGACGGCCTGGCAGGGACCTGCTGCTCTGCACAGCTGGATCCACAAGAAGCTCGCAGTGAGGCTCCCTGTTGAGCTGTGCACACAGGGCATGTGCCCAGGACCCTGGCTGGCTGGGAAGGCTGGGGAGTGGATCCTGGCATGAGACCCTGTCTAGGGAGCCTGTCTTTCTCTCTCATACTTAAAAAATAATTAACCAACAAACAATAGATTTCTTGAGAGTAACTAACAAAACGTGTTTTAAAAACGGTCCATGAGCTACTTTAACACTTTGGAGCCCTACCTTCAGCAGCCGGTCGAAGAGGACGATTCTGTTGAGCTGGTACTCTGTGTCCCGCTCTCTGATGATCAGAGGGAGAGTGGCCGCTGCAGACAGCTCGTTGTTGCTGTTCGAGTGAGGTAAACTAGACTGGCTGTAATGAAGCAGCAAAAGCAAAACGCACCATGCTTTTACACTCTATTTAGAAAGCAATTTTCAAAGAAAATGCACAATTTTTTTTTTTGAGAGGTTTTTGCTATAGGGCACAAGTGCTCACCAGAAAGAGAGAGAGAGAGAGAGAGAGAGAGAGACAGCGAAAAATCACCCCCCAAGGGGGATGGCCACACCACAATCCTTTCTCCTCCGTTCTCCTCTCAGGATCCTGGGCACACATGCACACGCGCTCGGCATGAGTTTAAGCTACTGGGTCCAGGACTCTAACTGCTGTCGCCTACATGAGAGTCCAGGAACATAGCTATTATGCCAATTGCTGGTCCCTGTACAAACTTCTTCAAATCAAATATACATAGATGAGAAAAATAAATGTAAAATTCGACTCTATGGACTTACTCATCTTCCAGTAGTGGGTAAAATGCTTCTCCACCAACATCTTTTAATCTCTGTGAATTTGAAAACACAAAACATTTATGTGTGGACATCTGAGGCAGCAACAGTGATCTGTATTCAAAAGGCAGAGGGATGCAAACATTATGAATTCATTCAAGTTTCAGGACAGGCATAAAATCAAATTTAATACTTAGTCCTCATAAACGTGCAAACACACCATGCTTCTACTGATTAAGTTGAGCTGTAAAGAATAGATATACATTTTTTTTTAACTTCAAGGTATCGCTCATAAATATCAGACACTTAGAATAGTTTTCCAAATGTAACTCAGAATTATTAACATTAGTATAAAACTTAATGAATGAAATATTTTAAAAGTATATGAAGATTACCAAAAACTGTACTCTTTTCATATATAGTCATTAACTAAAAGCCAAGTCAGATTTATTTTTGCTTTGGCCTTATACAAACTAAAAATTGAAGCATTCTGTACTTACCATACACTGGCTTCAAATAGTTAGCTATTTCTTTTATAAGTTAAAGTTTTAAGTAAAGAAATAAATTTTCCCAAATTTTAATGCATTATTATTACATATATATCTTTCTAAAGTTTAGCTTTTACTGTACTGGAAGTATAGTATATTAAATGTTGTTTAATAAGTATCTTTTCCACTTGTCTTTTCTAATTAAAAATCTAGAGAGCAAGCTGCCAAGTCCAGGACTTGAACTGCAGTTGGCCATGTGGGAATCCAGTACCCTTAACCACCACGCTTCCTACTGGCTTCATATTTGTATGATTTTAATTAAAAATAAATATGAATCAAATCTGGCAAAATATTCTTACGTTTCTTAGCTGACATAATGACAGTGTCACAGTGGTATCATCTAAAAGTGAGCTTCTGTCCCGGCCTTGTCCAAAGCTTTCACCGTCTTCAAAGAGAAAACTGAAAAGAGATGAAAACAAGTATTATAATAAGCACACCAAATCTAATTTGCTGTTTCTTGAAGTAAATAAAATGAACGGGGCTGGATAGTGGTGCGGCAGTAGGATGAGATGCTCCGAGAGTGACCGCTGAGAAGGTCGCTGGTTAGCCTCACGGATCCTCCCTGAAGAGGCTGGCCACACCTGTACTGGCTGGGGCTGGGGGTGGTCGCACATCAAGAGCCTACAGGGGGTGCCACGTCTTCTCTCTCTCACTCATAGAATAAATAAACAAAAAAATCTAAGTCTTGATTCCTTCATTAAGAAGAGAGTAAATTTTACATTGGATGGTTAATAAAAATAATGGAATTGCTGATGAGATTTCTCCAAATGGGTCTCATTCTACATCTCTTGAGCTGGTGTGAATATAGTGTGTAAGTGTAAAGCGTTTCGGGAACACAAGAATGACCTTGGCAACAATCTGCTCACACAGATTCAATGCTGAAATGACCCTTCTGACACTACCTGAAAGTGCTCGTGAGGAAGTTTATATGGGTGAGAAATTAAAAGGGAAAGCAGAAAGAAAAAAACACACTGAATAGTAATTTACAAAAGAAAGAATATTAAATAACAAATTAATCAAATTTATTTAGAAATTTAAGAAGAATTCCTTTTATGATCTATGTATACTTTAAAGTATTTTGTCTTCAAACTCTTATCATCTTACCTCTGGTTTTCTACTTAATTCACTATATAAGCAGTATAATTAAAGTTAATACTTAAAAATCAGTGTAGGAGGGTAAAAGTAGAAAAATAGTGTATCTAAATAACTAATATAAAAATTTAACAAGCAATGAAAACAATGATGACTTAGATGACTTCTACAATTACCTACAATGTCAAATCTAAGTCCTAACATCTAAAAGTAAAATTTAAAGCAAGAAATTCAGGTTCATATTCTTACGAATAAGTATGGGTCACGTCATAGTAATGGCAACTCTACCCCATAGAGCTGTGGAGTTATTTAACTTCCCTCCTAATGTATATCGTAATATCTTCTTATGTAGTTTTACAGATTTTTCTCAACTGTGAGTAAGAGAAAAAATTTCAGAGCAAACAATGGAATTTGAGGTTCTTTTAAAGAAACTATCTGGGGGGAACCACCAGTTGGCATAATGGCTATGTTGCTGGACTCCCATGTAGTCGAGCGCAGTTCAAGTCCCAGACCCAGTGGCTTAAACTCACGCCGGGCGCGTGTGTGTGCGTGCCCAAGATCCTGAGAGGAGAATGGAGGAGAAGGGATTGCCGAGTGGCCGTCTCCCCGGGGGGATGATTTCTCACTTTCTCTCTCACAGCCTTTGTGTGCTCCCTCTGCCCCTCTCCGCACCCAAGCACACAGGCCCAGCTTTAGGCCAAAAAACTCTATCATAAATAAGTAGGTAGGTAGGTAGATAGATGGATAGATAGATAAATTCTTTAAACAAAACTACCTGACCCAAGAGAGCAATAAGCACAAGGCCTCAGTGCCACCCCATACCCAATGGGGCTCTTGTCCCAAGGTGTCCTTTTGCCAGCACTTACGTAAACAGCCTGCAGCCACATCCAGGATAGTTCCTTGTGGGCACATTTCGGTTCACAATGAAAACTAAGGCTGTAAAAGGTTGTGAGTGTACAACGTGACCCTCACTCTACCTTCACTGCAATGTTCCCAGAATTCATGATGCAAACAACAGCGTAGGCCAGTCTGTTGCTCTGTGATTTTAAACAGACAGATGAGAATTCTGGGTAACATGCAGCCTCCTTCTTCTGGGCCTTCTCTTGGTGGTGAGACTGGCTTCCTCTGCAGCCGTCTCAGTGTGCGACCTCGGGGCAATCGGGATTCGTGTCACTCGGTCAATTGTCCTTAGCTTTGGCTTCACTCATGTGCCTCAGTCTCCCTTTTTGGCTTAAGACTGAGCACAGAGATGACCTGCAGGACCTGGGTTAGGTCTCAGAGCTCACTGGCACGGACACGTGCCTCTGGAGAGAGCTCCCTCCTCATACGCACACCAGCCTGGTTCTAACTGTCTTGAACACTGTTGGTCTGACTTGAACACTTCCACTAACATCCATCGTGGTGAGATGTTCCATAACACCAACGTTACTTATTTATTATAAAAATATTGATGGGAACTCTAAAATCAGACAGTTGGACCAATTAACTGAGAAGTTAACGTCCAATTGCTTCCATAATTACTTAGTTGGAACAGCTACCAAAAAAAAAAAACCAACAAAAAAAACAACAAAAAAACACTTTTGTTAAATGTTATTACCAGATTTTTTTTTTTCCCCCCATTTTCAAGAGAAGTTTTCTTTCCTTACTTGGGAAGTGTGCAGATAGGTGGTTTGGATCGAATGATTTCCTTGTTGACAAGCTCTTTCTCCAAGTCACCTCCAGCCAAACACCAAAGATAATAAACTTCTTCAATAGATCGTTCACCCAGGTAATCACTGTTTATATCTATTAATGACAAATTTAAAAGAATAATAATGATTACAGTTTCTGTTTTATTAAAAGTCAACATGTAAAAATAACTGACATTCTTAAAAAAAAAGTGAAAACTGAAGAACAGACTTCTGGTATTCTGGTTCTGTTTTTAAGGTACTGGAAGATTTCACTCCATCCTAACAGTAAACATCTGGATAGAGGAAAACTGAACGATTCCGTGAGGCGCCATAAGACAGGTCAGGATGTAGGGAATAGGGAAACCTGCTGCCTCCACGACTGGGGAGAGAGGTAGAGGAGGGGCACGGGGAGCCGGGGTCAGTGAAACTCAGACTCCAGCGGAAAGTGCATCAGGAACCAGTACTGGGGCTGGCAGACCTGAAGCGCTTTGTCTGTCTTCAGTTTTGCTATAGGGCATGCTGTTCGAAAGGGAGAAGAGAGAGAGAGGGAGTGAGAAATCACCCCGGCCACACCGTAACCCATCTTCTTCCTGCTCTCCGGATCTTGGGCATGCATGCACACATGCCTGGTGTGCTTTTCAGCCACTGGGTGCAGGACTCGGACTGCACACGGGCCATGTAGAATCCAGCCGCCTTCACTACCACACCAGCCGGCCTTGAGAGCTGCAGCCATCACGCTGGAATGGAACCCTGAAAGCTGATGCTTTCTTTCACATGCAGAATATAACAGTGTGTACCTCCTAAGCAATAATATGATTTTTAGACATCATGTACAATAAACTACAGGGAATATCAGTAGCTTAAATGACTAGATGCTGTCAATTTTATTTATATTATATATACACACATATATATTTTAGATATATACACACACACATATATACATATATATTTAGAGTCTGATATTTTATTTTATATATATGGTGTGTGTGTGTGTGTGTATATATATATATATATATATATATATATATATATATATATATATATATATATATATATATATATATATCTTCTTTTTAAATAAAAGGTTTTTTCCATAGGGGATGTGCACTCACCAGAGAGAGACAGTGAGAGGGAAAATGAGAAATCACCCCCAGGAATATGGCCATGCCACATTCTTTTCTCTTCCCTTCTCCTCCTGGGATTTTGGGCGTGCATATACATGTGCCAGGCATGATATTCAAGTCCCTGGGTCTGGGACCTGAACCATGGTCAGCCATGTGGGAGCCACTATGCCACCTGCTGGCCCCGTTGTCAATTATATTTTAAGCAATTCCAGAACAATCTCTTAATTCCCAGATACTTATCCAGAAAATCCCACTACTGTAATATATTGGTCTTCAGAAAAGTCATGATGTATTTTTCTATGTTTCCTATGCAAAGGTGCATCATGACTTTTTCAATCACCCAATATATTCTTTGTAAATTCAAAACCGAAACTAAGGTTTCCTACTTTAAAGAATTTCTTTCAAAAACAAGACTTACACGATTGCCTATGTTTTATTTATCATTACCTTTACACAACTGACTGATATCCTCGGGCAGAGTCAAATCGGCACATCTCGGAGAAGATGAAAACAGACCGGCAGGGTTGGTGAAGGGAGTGTATGAAGGTGACACTTCACTGAATACCGCGTCCTTCATCAGTTCATCTGGGGTTGGCCTGAGGAATGCGTTCGAAACGCAGGATGTGAGTGAAAGCCAATATAGTTTCCCAGAATCTCGGGACCCATTCAAGGGGACAGTTCAGTCTTAAATACCTCATTAGCACAGAAAGTAACAAAGGTCTCCTAGCAGAGTCCAGGCACCTTTAAATAATCCAACGACTAGTGAACACAGAGTTCCTTTCGTTAGCTGTGCTAGGCGCACTTCTTGAACCTCAGAAATCATCCCTGACAGCTTCTGTTTTTCTCAGTCTCAGGCTGCCTAGCACGCACCTGAACTTCTTGTTAAGTAACAAATACGCGAATTAATAACTTCTGGGGCTTCAGATCCTTTGGTCTAACGTGGCATACACACAGAGTGATACTTTTAATATCAGTCCTCTCTTCCTAATATGTCTTGATAAAGTGTTTTTCTAAAGACCAATTAAAGACATTATTTCAAACATTACAAGGTTAGGAATGGTCACATGACTAACAGTACCATCACCAAATGAATGTACTTTAATAGGACTTCTAAGAAAGCCTGTTATTGTTAGCAACCGTTGGTTTACCTCGACATCCCCCCTCGTTCATTGCTATAGCATACGTTGCCAACAAACTTCGATTCTCATTTTTCTGATACTACCATTAGGCTAAGAACATCTAGATTCCACAGTTTAGCTGATTTTCTACTTGGAGGATAGCAGATGAACTATAATTTCTTGTAGTATATGCCGGTTTTCTGACTATGGTTTAATTTCAATGATTTCTTTCATTAACAAAAAAATTAAAGCCTTACTTACATCATTCAAAGTTATGATATTGATTTCAACCAGGTACTACTACATATGGAAATATATTTAACCCACTAGTATTATAACAAGAAAAAAAAGTGAGTGCTCATATATAGAAGATCTTAATGTAATCGCAAACTCTTACTAATATCGACCTCTTAGAAGGGTGAAAGGTGAGGCACTTCTTCAAAAGATCTATAACATGTTCAGGAAGCTCCTGGTAAATAAATAAATAAATAAAATTAATTAAAATGATCCATTTTAGAAATGTGTACTACTACAGAAAGTTTTGAATTTTGAAAAAAGTCTTTATTAGAACTTTATACAAATTTTTATTAGCTCGTCACTCTGGGAAAAAGCAAATACTTAAAAGTAAGCATACCTTTCAGATAGCTCTTGGATGCCAAGTATGCAAAATAAACTAACTATCATTAATGGCCTGCTAAAATTCAGGTGCTGATAGTAATGGCCAATGGAATCGTATTAAGAGGAGGGGCCTTTGGGACCAGCAGTTGGTATAATGGCTATGTCGCTGGACTCCCATGTAGTCAACTGTGGTTGGAGTCCCGGACCCAGTGGCTTAAACTCAGGCCAGGAGCGTGTGCGTGCGTGCCCAAGATCCCTAGAGGAGAATGGAGGAGAAGGGACTGCAGTGTGGCCATTCCCCCTCCACCCCCCCGGGGATGGTGATTTCTTGCTTTCTATATCTCTGTCTCTCTCTGTCTTTCTGGCATGCACCCTATAGCAAAAACAAAGAGAGGGGCCTTTATTCGACTAGCTTGTCCTTCCGCTCCTCTGCGGGATACATCCCTCAGCAGACAACCAAATGGCTTGACCTTGGACTTCCCAGCTTTTAGAACTGTGAGAAAATAAACTTCGGTTCTCTATAAATTACCTGGACTCAGGTATTTTGTGAGAGCAGCACAAACAGGCTAAGGGACAGAAAGACTAATGACAAACCTTTATAACGTCCAGACAACCGTGCTCTTCAGCCAGAACAACTACAGTGTCATCTACGCAGTCTATAAAACAGAGAAACTGCATAAATAAGTGCTGCTTTTCTACTCTTGCAGACTACTTGGAAAATAAACCCTGACAAAAACCTAAAAAAAAAAAAAAAAAAAAAAGCCAGTGTAATGCAGTTTTGGAACTTGAGATACTGAAAAGCTTGTGATTTTGTTAACTTTCTTTATGCACCTGGATAAAAATGAAGATAGTCAAATGCTATTAATTGAATCGTAGATACTGAAAGACAGCAGTTTAAGTATTCTGATAAACAGTGTTTCAAGGAAGATAAAGATGTTCTCTCTTTCTCTCGATTATTGCGAGGTCTTGAAGAGTTCATAGGATGCTGGGCATGACTGCACACACCTGCCCGGGAGATAAGCAAGCTTGGGCAACATCGTGAGACCCTGTCTCTAAATATATATTAAAAACTATGCATGGATTTCCAAACATTTTTGTGCCAAAAATAAAGTCATACTTTAATTCTATTTTTCCACAAACCTTTTGAGGCGCCCCTCATGAACACATTAAAGCACACATGCGCGCGCTCTATGGGCTGGCTTATTAGAGCCTCCTGGGCGTCACTGTAGACGCAGTGCGCCATTGCCCATAGCGTCATTATGTAATGCATGAGTGTAAAAAACCCAGGAGTGAAGAAACATTGCCTGAAGATAAACTGCTACTTTCATACTTTGATTCCATAAGTTCATTTTCTTGGCTGTTTCATGATACTAAGATAATTTCCATCTGTATTAAAATTCCTTAGTGCATAAAGAAAGCTCTACAATATATGTCAGAAGGCATTTCTTGAGCTGTCCTGTTAATGCTTACCCTGTTCATTAGACTCGCGGAGGGAGAGAATGTTTCAGTGCGTTTGCTATTTTGGAAGAACTCATCTTTGGTGTACATGATTACTGACAAAGGTTGATTTGAAATTATGATTCCATTTGAAAGGTAATCAATTATTGTATAGCACTTACCTAAAGTAAGCACAAATTTTAGTCTTTCAGAAATATCCAAGCTCTGGAATAATTTTCTTCCCTAAACAAAATGGAAAAAGAAATTCTTGTTAATATTTACATTAGTTTTCTGGGGAGGTTTCTTTCTTTTCTATAACTGAAACTAATTTTATCAGGTACCTTCATTTATCTCCAGAGGTTTCATTAAATTTTTAAAGTACATTTCACCAAAAAAAAAAAAAAAAAAAAAAAAAAAAAAAAAAAAAAAAAAAGGCCCAGACCCAATGGCTTGAAAAACATCCTGGGTGGGCGTGGTGGCGCCCGCCCTATGGAAAAATATGCTGGGTGTGTGTGTGCATGCCCAAATCCTGCCAGGAGAAATGGGGGGAAGAGACTGCATTGCACCTGTCCCCAAGGGGGCTGCTTCTCACTTTCCCTCTTTCTCTGTCATCTTTCTGGTGAGTGCATGCACCTTCTGGCGAAACTTAAATAAAAAGGTATATTTAACTTAAAATCCATGTAGGCGTGTAAATGCCTCCACTGTTTCATTTTTATTATAGAGGTCTTTTTGGATGTTCAGTGTTTCTTGAGATAGGTACTCATCTTTTCATACAGAATTCTCCTACACATGTTTTTAGTCCATGGAAGCTTCTGGGGCCTGGATCTAAAGACAGTGATCCTACAGTGGCTCCTCTCTTTCCTTCTAGCTAAGGGAGGTGACGAAGAGAGAGTTCGGAAACTGGAGGCTGAGCTGGTGGGGCCGTCCTGCCTGAAGGCTCTGCCTGGCGCTGAGCAGTAGGGCTGCCTCGCCGGCTCCGGACTGTGACACAGGAAACAGCCTTTTCTTCAAATCACTGATTTTAGTTCCTCTGTTAGTCGTAACATCATGGTTACCTCGATAAACAGAGAGGCTACCTGGGAAGGCCTCATTAAGAGCCAGTGTACAAATGGAGCTGTACAGGAGGTAGACGACTAGAGGGATGGAGGAGTTATTATATTTAGAAGAGAAAGACTAACGGGGGCAGACCATGAGCATATAAAACAGTGTAAGTCGTTTCGGTGACATTGCTAAAATTATTTACATTTAGTAAAGGTGCAATTTTTTTCACATAATAGAAGTGTAAACATTTCTAATGGCATCAAAATAATATTTACACTTGGTACAATTTACATAGAGTAAAACTTAGATTAACACGTAGGAAAAGTATAAGCATTTCCGGAAATATCCAAAATATGCAAATTGATTGTCAAAATGAATTTTTTTAAAAGTCAGATTGAGAAGTAAGCCTTTTCTTCTTATAACTGAATCAATTGATATAGCAGAAACATATCACTATTAAATAACTGTCAGAATTACTCCGATGATCACAGTCTCATGTTATTAGTTTAACATTTCTTCATACAAACCACACAAAGCTCAAATAGGATGATTCCCAGAGACCACACATCTGATTTGGGGCCCGAAGGCAATGGTCTCTCCCTTGGTGCATGGTCCGTGGTTTTAGAAATCCCTTGTGCAATGACCTCGGGGGCCAAGTACGACGGGTACCTGCAACGATGCATTAAAATAGTAAGTTATGGGGGAAGCAGCGTGTTTTTATCAACAGTGTGGTAGGAGCTACGAAAAAGCTTCATAATTAAACTAACAACTGCTGCTAGAAATGATTTTCGACTAACCATTATAACACACACCCCGACGTCCAGGAATCAAGAGTAATTCCACATGAGTCTACAGTACTCTCACCACAGCTCTGTCTCTCTGAACCTAAGTTCTTTCTCTGCGTCCTCGGTGTCCTCGCACTCTGCCTTTCCTGAATCTCTGTCTCCCGGCATTCTCCCTTCCTTGTATTGCCTATCTTCTCTTAATATTCGACTATTATGTCATGTTCATTTGATCTTTGAAACCGGTGCCTGTCATTTTGAGC